AGAAGAAATAAAAGCATGAATAATCATCTCAAGTTCAAGCTTTGATACCATTAGTCTGAGTTTAGAAATATTCCGTAAATGATAAAAACCGTTTCGGACCAGCTGCTTAGAGTGCTGCTCGAGCGACATCGAGCTGTCAAATACGACACCGAGGTTTAGTGTAAAAGCTAAAATGAAATGCTTGAATCACATGAACTGTTAAACTTTATTATGAGAATTTATTGCTGCTTTTAACTATCATTAACAAATAATAACACATTATCATGGTTACTCTAACTCATTTCACTGATCCAATAAGACGATGAACATTCAGTTATATTATTTTAATGGATATGCCATCTCTCCCTTCAGGAGAAGGTGTTGCTGTGGTTGCTTCAGTTCATGCAGGAACAGGCTATCTCTCTGGATGAAGTCGACCAGAACGGAAACACTGCAGTCCACATAGCAGCTCAGTATGGTCACCTCAGCTGTATACAGGTAACCTGATGTTTAAGTCTGTGATATACCTTCAAGATTTACATCACTGGATGTTTTGCTCCCATAAATATACAGCAGGTTCTGCTGTTAGTCCGCCTGCTGTCAGAATCTGTGTGGACTGAGTGACTTGAGCTCTAACCTCGACCTGCGGCAGGTGGAGAGTTGGTCATATTGTTTATTGTCTCAGAGCAGCTAATGCTTTGTCTTTATTCATCTGTTTCTCTGGTGATGTGTCCTTCATGGTGTTTTTAAAAAGTTCAACTTCTTTAACCTTTTTTTTCCTGTTCCTAAATATTGTTTCTTTGCTCGGAGATTTATCACTTTATCACCATCCATCACGCTTCTGTAGAGTAAAAGGTTAAATGCTCGCTGCAACATTCTGGTTAGTTCCTTTTTCTCTTACTTAACCTGACACAACACTGATTTATTACAAGTGTTAGGTTTTACACTTTTCGCTTATTTTCCTACAATAGAGGCTGACGGGTATTTTCTCTGTAGGTGGCACACCCTGCTGAAGGAAGGGCGGATATTATTAGTCTTGTCTGCTTCCTGCTGGCTAGCCCAGGCTGACAATCAAAATACTGATAACTAATGATATGGTTTAAATGAGAGAGCTGCTTCTTTGAAACGTCTGAAACTTGAGGGCTAGAGCTCAGAACTGTGAAAGGTTTGTGTTTGTTTATCCAGACTCTGGTGGAGTACGGCTCCAATGTGACATTCCAGAACCAGCAGGGGGAGCGGCCTTCCCAGAGTGCCGAGCGGCAGGGACACACCACTTGCGCCCGCTACCTGGTTGTAGTGGAAACCTGCATGTCGCTGGCCTCGCAGGTTGTTAAGCTCACCAAGCAGCTCAATGAGTAAGTTGATGTGTTTTTGCATAGTTTAGAATTGTAGTGTTATCATCCTGTTATCTGAGTCTCAAATATGTCATAACCCCAAAATGTTCAGCTTATCATATTATGAGATGAGAACATCATCACCACTGGTGGTCATTAATAATAATTCTTTGGAAAAGATCCAGCCGTCCATTTTTTTTTAAACTTCTTATTCACTTCACGGTTGCTGGAAACTATCCAGGGCCATTTTTAAAAATGGCGGTTTGGATTTTTCTCTCATGACTCATCATTGACTGGTTAATCGGTGGCATGCTGCCTGTCGACGTCACATTTTCACATAGACTCAGCTCACATCGAACCCCAGCTGAGCAAGTACTAAAAAAGTATCTGATACCAGGTACTGCTATCTAATAGATAACCCTAAAAACAGAGCCAAGTCAAGCTGAGCCAAGATGAGTGGGTACTAGTAGAAAAGAGCTATTTGAGTCTTTGTGGGATATCTTTTATTAGTTATTTGCATCATGAAATCTGTTTGTGTATTTGTTTTGAAACAGACAGCATTCAGACTTCAGTGTTCTTGGAAAAACACAGGAGCTGTCTCAGTGTTAGATCTGTCATATGTGTTGCGTGTTTGTCATGTAGACAGGCGTCAGAGAGAATGGCCTTACAGAAGCAGCTGCAGAGACTGATGGAGCCCAACAAGGCAGAGGGGACACCGTCCAGATCACCCAGGTAACAGGCATATCCTAACACACACACACAAACACGCTCGGTGTGTAAAAGCCATACAGATGAAAGTTAATCATCTAATAAAAGAAGTCAAGATGTGGAAGCTAAGATCTGCTTAATGAGTCAGAGCTGGTAAACTGACAAAGCAGCAGTTTTCTCAGTAGAGCTTAGTGAGGGACCACAATAACTT